ATAACTTAAGAAATTTTGGTAGATGAAAATATCACTTGTGGTTATTTTGGAAACATTTTGCCATGTTCGTTTTAACTACGTTTTCCCGTCATTGTAGTTGTAGGGGACAATAAAATGCTCATAGTTTGTTACTGTATCATGTTGCACCCAAGTGGTGCTGTGGTACAGTGTTTAAATACTCATCTGCTTCTTGGAAGGTCAAAGGTTTGATTCTTGGTCAAACCAAAGCTTTTTTTTATTCAGACAGATTATAAACTATATTCACATTTCCAATAATTGTATGTATCTCGGTATGATATTAAAATAAGTTGAATAATAAAGTAATAATATAAATTAACTACCAGACCAGCAACCTCAGGATGCCCAAAAGAGCAGGAAATTTAAAGATGCCCTTAAACGGAAATCACAACTTTTGAGTTTTTTTACATGTATACAGCATTTCAATTTTCTTGTGTTATTATGTTTGTATTCTTATGTGTTAACACAAACTTATCTGCTAACACAGCCGCTTGTAAGAGTAAGGTAACTGTCTGCTCAATGAAATAAGTTACAATATGGTCAGGAAGATAGATTTGAAATTCTTCAAGCAAAATTAGCTGCTTAAGTTTGTCAAAATCAGCTAAATTGCAAGTAGTACACAACTTCTCAAAAATGCACCCCTTTGACTTGTGCAAACTCAATAAAGATTTGATTTACAGTATACCTCAGGGACCACTTCAAAGGTTTCAGATTTATTTCACAATTTGTATCTGTTATAACTGTTAATACAGTGGCATTTTTATTAATCTGTGGAATAGTTGTCTTACTTTACATATTGTTAAGTCACACTGTTGGACATTTGCAATGAGGAAATAAGCATACACAGGACATTTTTCCCCCAATCAGGATTTTTTTTTTCTTATTTAAGAGCATTCTCACAGTGGTAGTGTAATGTAAAAGTGTGTGTGAATGTGGGTGTACTGTAAACCTGAAAAAAGCACATTGCATTCACAACATGCTATCATAAAAAAACACTTTTATATACTATATCTGGCTGAGTAATTTTACATTGTGAAACAACCATACTTTCATTTTTAGTATTCATTTAATATTTAACATACTGTCATATACAGCATTAAATTAGTACAAGTCTAAACAGTATACAAATTACATTCTGTAATTGGAAAAATATTGTCCCTAAGGGGATGAGCATTTAAAATCGAGCCCGGCCATTTCACGTGATAGCCTAGAATACTTGCATACCCCACATTAAACATTCATTGAGTCACCTGTTGGTTTTACAAAATAGTGCAGTGCAGCTCCAGATTATTAAAAAAAAACTTGATGCAATGCATTATGTCTGGTGCATTATGCTGCATTATCTGTCACACATTCTGAATGACTGCATCTGTACAGTATGCACATTCAGTTCTGAATGTTTATGTTTATGCTACCTGTTACTTAATTTATTGAATTATTATTATTGAAAAAATAATATTGAAAATAAACAGTTTAATTTAATATACATAGTAAGAGTGATTGTTTTAAAATCCAAATGTAGAGAAATCATTCTTTTGCATTGTCTAGAACTGCTTACTTTGTCCATACAGTTAATTTTCTGGGAAGCAGTTAAAATTTGGAGTCTAGTTTTAATCGCATTATAGTTATGTTTATATGCAAAAGTAAAGAGAAGTGATAGTGATTTTGTCAGACTATACTTTTTGTGAAATTATTTTATTGAAGGTTTAAAATAACTTAACATTAACTAAGCAAACTAAAATATCTAGTGTTCTGCTTTCTCTCTTTAAATTCTAACACACATGAGGGCAAAAGATGAGTAATGTAGGCTAAAATACGAATGTTATGGGGAAAGGCTAAAAGTAAAAAAAACATGCAAGCAGGTATGCCCTATGTTTTGTCAATGGTATAGGCAGTAACACAGTGATCCACTTCTGAGACATGTAGTCACATTCAGTGAACAACCTTCCAGGCAATATTTTAAAATGTACTCTCCAGAATGGAGAATTGAGTTGATTGAGAGCTATAGCCATGTTCAGTTTCAAAGGGATGTTTGCTTTGCTTTGCATGCAAAATATTCTCCTTGAAGAAGTGTGAAGTGTATCTCTGATTCTAGATTTGATGAAGGGAAACATTGTGCTGCTAAAGTTTGGGAACACAAACACTTGTCAGAACATACCCGTAATTCTGTGGTATACAAAGCAACAAGAGGTGGTAAGATATGACACCGCACTGTATATTCATGTTAATAAGGAGCAACAATACTGGCAAGAACTGCTGAAACCTATTAATCAGGTTTTAAAATTCATTGTAGAACGTGGCCTGGCATTTCATGAATATAATGAAACTCTTGTCACAACACAAAACAGTAACTGTCATGGGATTTTGGAACTCATTGACTTGATCCATTTTTGTCAGAGGTTCAGAAATTCATTATCTTTCATATTTGTGAAGACCTTATTTAACAGATTGGGAATAAACTAAAAT